CTAAATTTCAAAAAAGACATTTTTTGCTCACTCTTCTGGTCTGAGCGTTTCCTCTTACATTTTTAATTCCTCGTATTTACTTCTCAAGCTCCTGCCAATGTAGTTTTTATATCCTTCTCTCTGAGGATCAGCATTGCACGCTCTGTGCAAGAAATACGTTTCTGTAGCTGATCTGTAACTGTTGCTCTGTACATGACACTCGGGGGAGAACTCTTTGACCCTTTTGCCAGAGAGCAGTACTTTGAATGGACCAGTTCTTAGATGAGTTGCAATGGTTTTACATGATACCGTGTGCTGTTTGACCAGTGTACGAAACAAACAACTACTGTATCTGCCAAAAGTTACTAAGCTGTGCATTGGAGCTTCCTTCAATATATAATAGAATGGATGCAAGATCAGTGTAATTTGTGCCTCTCTCAGAGTGGTGCTATTGTTTTTTGATACTCCCAGCCTTCTCCAGAAAATAGATTTAGCATCCTTAAATCGCTCCTGAACTGCTCATGTCTGGTAGTATATAGCATACTATATGAGCCACTGAGCCAGTTTCATAAGAAAATGTTAATAAATCAATGAAGTGGCATGTAAATGATGAAAGATTAACTGCTCACATAACCAATATAATAAATAATCAAGAGAATCCAAATTTAATCATGCTGAGTAACTTTGCTTGTACTAAAAACCCATCCACTTGCCTACATACATTTGCATATTTTTCTAAGTGTTTCATTTCTCACATAAAGCAGATATCATGAGGTTCAGGGCAAAATACGCTTAGGTCTGAAAGTCTCAAAATACATCAACTTCAAGACTGGAGATAATATCTATCACATAATTTATTTAAGGTATTAATTTACAATACAAGAGATAAAGTAACTAGATTTTTAATAGAGTGCGGCGCCTTAAAAGTTCAAATTCATTGTGTGACATTTAATCAAATGCTCCAATATTTTCTTCTACGAGTTCAACTATATTGCTCCATTTTTTTCAAAGCAAAATGATAATTAATAGTTGTAAAAATAACCTGAAGATGGAATATGAAACTTTCTATAGGAGTAAAATAAGCAATATTGATGGGAACTTCAGTGTTAATACCATACATGTTGCTGGGGAAAGGAATATGGTTTTGATACAATGAAGTTTGCAGATTCTTTCACATGCCCTATATATAGTGAATACCCAGATCTGGAACAGAAACTATGTGCAACAGCTGTTAAGAGTGTATTGGACCACAAGCCTGTCATAAACATTGCCTCTTAATCTGAAAGTGTCTCCTTTTTCATTTCCTTTAAACCAACCTCTGCATTGCATTTAATCTGAAACAGAATGATTCTCCTAATAGGTGCAACAGTGTTTACAAATTGAAAACCTAGTTATTAAACTAAATCTTGTTTCTACAGACATTTCCATTAACACCATAATATCTTCTAAAGAGGATCACTCCAACATTTGGCACATCCATAGTTTGCTCTGCATTTGTGAAATTGAATCATTAGCAAATTAGCAGTGCACATGCCAAGCAAAGCTAAGGATGAAAAGGGATCCAGCCCTGTTACTCAGTTTCATTTTTGTATCTAAACCGCTAAGGGAACGTGTGTAGGCACAGAAAGTGCTTAACATGACAATCAGGGAAACAGGATGTTAAAATGTTTTCATAGTTAGAAATAAGGAAACACACCATTTTCATGTCCTCTTCTATCCACATGGTAGATTTTCACAAACATTGCTACCAATTTTCAAAGGTGTTTAGAGGTATTGGAGGTCTAATTTGAGACTCCTTAAAAGGAAATTTATTTTCAGACGGTGAGTGCTCAGAATTTCTTAATATGAAGACCCTATAAGATGTCTCAACTTAGGCAACCAAAAATTCACTTCTGAAAATGTAGGCTATTACTAGAAAGGAGACATGATAAAAGAATGTAATATAATGATCTAAAGAAAGTAGCTCACAAACTTCTATTCTTCCTGTCTCCTAACAAAAGAACAAGAGGACATTCAATGAAAATAAAAGATGAGAAATTTAAACTGTTGAAAGGAAATATAATTTTCACACAAACTGTGATTAAACTCCGGAATTCACTGCCACATCAAGTTGCTGAGGCCAGGAATTTAGCAAGATTCAAAAAGAGATTGGACATTTATATGTATATCAAGAATAGGCAGAGTTACCATAATTAATTATAACAAACAAATTTGTGGAAGAGATATTAAACCTCATGATTAAAGGCTTCAGAGGGGTAGCCGTGTTAGTCTGTATCAGCAAAAACAATGAGGAGTCCTTGTGGCACCTTAGAGACTAACAAATTTATTTAGGCATAAGGTTTCATGGGCTATAATCCACTTCATCAGATGCATGGAGTGAAAAATACTGTAGGCAGGTATAAATATACAGCACATGAAAAGATGGGAGTTGCCTTACCAAGTGGGGGGTCAATGCTAACGAGGACAATTCAATCAGGGTGGATGTGGCCCATTCCCAACAGTTGACAAGAAAGAGTGAATATCAACAGAGGGAAGATTACTTTTTGTAGTGCTAATGAGGCCAATCCATGCAGGGTGGAAGTGGCCCATTTCCAACAATTATGTTTATGTTATGTTTAAAGGCGTAAGACTTATCTCTAGCTATTTTAGATTAGGAGGAGACATAAATGTGGAGGCTAGATTACTCCACATCTGTCTTCTTCCTACACATTCATCGGAAGTGTCTGGTTTTGGCCCCCGTTGGAAACAGGACACTGGACAAGACACTCAATCTGATCCAGTATGACAATCTCTGTGAGCCTAAATTTTTACGTATCTTCCACAGATTTTTGTTTGAATCAAATAGAATGCTAAATCTTCTTGTTAGCCACATAAAGAATCCATATACAGAATATTCAGACCCTGCTCAGAAGAGCTTCATGTTACCCTGAATGGCTTCCCAAATCAGTTATATAGAAAGAACAACATTTGAACAGAGAACCAGTGTACTTATCTGACCACACAGAAGCTCTGTCTTTCTAAAGGTTAACACACAGGTTCCACACCAGGAATGAAATTCCATATCTTAAGGACTTAAGTTGTAATCAAGTGGTGCATAGGGTTTTGTGCAGGCTTCCCTGAACCCTGAGTGACTTTCACCCCTCATTAAAGAAAAATAATCAGTTAATAATAAGTCACACTTTATTTGATGAGTACAACCATGTGCTTGGTGCTATAAAGAACAGTAAATAAGACACAGTGCTGACCTTTGCATGGTGTGAGAAATAATAAAATGACATTCTAACTAATCACAGATTATTTTTAAAATGTTGGTCTTTATTTTCTTTCCCTTTTGAATCCAGATGAAAATATAGAAATGGAAAGACTCATTAGAACTTACTACTCCATAAGCATTATGTACTGAATTTATTTCACTCACCATAAAGGAAATAGTCACTGTGAGTGGTTTATAATCACACTTGCTGATAATACTCCCATTTTGAAGTTGTGTCCAAAAATAAAGTTAAAGTCAGTTTTATATTTTTGACTTCAGGGATATATCTTGATATTGTGATAGATGTTCAGTAAACCAAATGCTTGTTTTGTTATATCCCAGTCTCTCTTTCATACAAAGGACAGAAAAAATGATCAAAATTTCCCCAGAAGGAGTTACCTAGATAGGAACATATGCTGATTGCAGTATATTACTTGAAATGAGAATGGTCTTGATTTATTTTTAAAGTAAATCATAATCATAATAATAATAAGAGAAGCCAATTGAAAAATGTTTGATTCTTGAAAGAAAACAAGAAGGTTTCGTTGGCACCAGATATTTTTAATTAATTCTATCAACCCCCAAACTTCCCCTTTTGTTGACAAAAAATGCACTGCTAAAGTATGTTGCCATTTTGCAATGACTCTGGAAGGAATGAAGACTAACAGTTTACGTTCATAGGGAGAGAAGAAATGTTGAAGGAGACTAGTGGGAGTTTCGTTCATCTGAGGAGAGCAGAATATTGCAGTGCCTGGTGGTTTCACCCTACATGCCCAGAATGCTGGAGTTACCAGTTCCTCCTCTATACTATGGAAATGGCAACACGGTTTAACTCTTCCATTAATATTGCACATAGGGAGTGAAATTCACCCCAGTGCACGGGGCTAACAGAGGCCAATGCACTGAGAACAGTGGGGCAGATTCTCCACTCTGCTTCAGTGTAGTGCAGAGTGAGTAGTACAGGGAGCCAATTGTGTCTTTATAATCCTCAACCACCTAACCTCGAGACAAATTAGAACTGTGCCGGAGCAAGGCAGAATTAGCAATAGGGGAGCTCCCCTCCACCACAGTTGATCTCTGTGCCACTAAAACTCGACCACAGAACAATGTCAGCATACACTCCAGATACACTCAGGATAGGGGGAGAAGCCAGGATTTATGCCACAGAAAGTGTTCTTAGTGGATTTGGGAATCTAACCCAGTAGATGGGAGTTAACAGCTACTTGTAGATTGTAGAGTAGAATTTTGCCCATGGTTTGGAGACACATGTAAAATGCATTTTAAGGTTTTTCTTTCCTTGACACACAGAACAATAGAAACACACAGATATTCATTTTTTTCTTGTAGCAGGCTGTCTGACAAGTTGGGTTGGCTAATCCATACTGTGTAATTTCTTAGATGACACAGAGCCTTAAACATGTCCCTCAAAAACAAGAAATAAGAAAAACCACTTCACATATCATGGCGTTACTCTGAATGCTGAAGATTACAATTATATTTTGATATTAATCTTACTATTGCAATTTGATTGTTGTGATCTGCTCTATCAAAACGCAAAAGACAGTATACATCTTTTAAATAGAATGCTACAACACTGCAAAGAACTGACATTTCTAAGTACTATAGAAACTTCCAAACATCTAAAATAATTCATTAAAATGAGATAGCTTTCTGCTGTAACCTACTTGGCATGGAATATCACACTGAGTAAAACCAGATTCTGCATTTTTTTTATTCCCTTGTGTTGTCTTTTTCCATTCACAATTACCTGTAATGTTTTGATGTCTTCATAAGAAAACTGCACAGTGGGAACCCCAAGATGGTTGATGAAATAATCAGAATCGCCCTGCATCTGCACAGAACTCACATTGGATCCTGGGCACTTCATTTTCCCCAGACAGGTAAGGCTCTGACTCTGAAAAAAACAAATCAAGAGTTCCAGTTATTTAATTATTTGCAACTGACCTGTAATGACTCAAGATGATATCTGATATTTATGCAGCATTTTCAGCTTGAAGGACCCCAAAGCAATTTAAAAACACAGGCCAGATCTTCCGCTGATGCAAATCAGCATGCATCAATTCACATCAGCTTCGAATCTGGCTACATATATAGATAGAAATAATTTCATCCACCATTTAAAGGCAGCAACCTCTGTGGTGGAATGTTTAAGTGTACACAGCCACATGGCTGATTATTTCAGAGTAGAAGTGAAGGTGAATATCATATTCAAATGAAAGAGTGGTGGGGGAATTTAGGTAGGCAGATGCAATTACCCAAATTGGCCATGATTTGGGGAATTAGCATCCTACTCTTACAAAGAATGCCATCTGATGAAGTGAGCTGTAGCTCACGAAAGCTTATGCTCAAATAAATTTGTTAGTCTCTAAGGTGCCACGCGTCCTCCTTTTCTTATAGCACAGATGGTGAGCTTTAGAGTTGCAAAGAGTTCTTTCAGAATTAGTTCCATAGGTTATAGTCCAATGTCCAATATCAGGGTGAGCGAGTTTGGAGTTGGGGGACCTCAGTCTTGTGACTCAAACTTCCCCTGAAACCTTAGCAGATCTGAGATACAGGATCAGGGCCCAAGACTTCTTTTTATAGTTTCCTGGCAGCCTCTTGACAGTAGGTGAATAATAGGTAAAACACCGTGGCTTTGAAGTAGACCTATTTCCTAAGCCTCATCGATAATTAGCTACATGGATTAGCATAAGGCAACTACCTATCTACCGCCATTCACAGATAGTTTATTACATACTTCAAAGAGAAATGAAGACAATGATATTACCACATTCCCAGTTCATCTAAATATTAATATTCCCTTTTGATCTTTGAATCAATAGAACACAGTGACAGACAGGAACCCTCTGGTTACATCGTTAACCTCTAACAAGATATAAGGTAAACATAGACTACAATCACTATCTTCTTCCAATTCTTTAACAATACAAGTCTACAGTTCAAAGCTGTAGTCTATCTAACATGACTATGTTAGCTATTTATAAGAAATAGCCTTAATTACAATTTACATACTTTCCTAATATGTCTTTAAAAGGTAGAATTTGGGTCATTTAGCCTGCAAGTTGCTTAACCCTTTCACAGCTCCCTAACATCAGAGCGCTGCAGCAGATATCTGGTCATCTCACTTGAAATGTTCCATGAAATGCTGGCATTTTAAAAGACTGTGCTATAGTGGCTCACAGACAAGGGGTTAAGGAGTGAAATGCAATGAAAAGGTTGAAACTAAGTATAAATTTACTGTGCTATTGGTTTAAAAAAATTGGTGCAATAATATCTTCATAATCCTTGTGCAACAGGAGTAGAAGTGTGAGCAACAAGAGTGATGTAGTGGTGGGAGTCTGCTATAGACCACTGGACCAGGGGGATGAGGTGGATGAGGCTTTCTATCAGCAACTCGCAGAAGCTACTAGATCGCACGCCCTGGTTCTCATAGGTGACTTTAATCTTCCTGATATCTGCTGGGAGAGCACTACAGTGGTGCATAGACAATCCAGGAAGTTTTTGGATAATGTAGGGGACAATTTCCTGGTGCAAGTGCTAGAGGAACCAACGGGGGGGGGGGGGAGGCTTTTCTTGACCTGCTGCTCACAAATCGGGAAGAATTAGTGGGGGAAGCAAAAGTGGATGGGAATCTGGGAGGCAGTGATCATGAGTTGGTTGAGTTCAGGATCCTGACACAGGGAAGAAAGGTAAGCAGCAGAATACGGACCCTGGACTTCAAGAAAGTAGACTTCGACTCCCTCAGGGAACTGATGGGCAGGATCCCCTGGGGGACTAACATGAAGGGGAAAGGAGTCCAGGAGAGCTGGCTGTATTTCAAGGAATCCCTATTGAGGTTACAGGGAGAACCATCCCGATGTGTCGAAAGCATAGTAAATATGGCAGGCGACCAGCTTGGCTTAACGGTGAAATCCTTGTGGATCTTAAACATAAAAAAGAAGCTTACAAGAAGTGGAAGATAGGACAACTGACCAGGGAAGAGTATAATATTATTGCTTGGGCATGTAGGAATGAAATCAGGAAGGCCAAATCACACCTGGAGTTGCAGCTAGCAAGAGATATTAAGAGTAACAAGAAGGGTTTCTTCAGGTATGTTGGCAACAAGAAGAAAGCCAAGGAAAGTGTGGGCCCCTTACTGAATGAGGGAGGCAACCTAGTGACAGAGGATGTGGAAAAAGCTAATGTACTCAATGCTTTTTTTGCCTCTGTCTTCACGAACAAGGTCAGCTCCCAGACTGCTGCGCTGGGCATCACAGCATGGGGAGTAGGTGGCCAGCCCTCTGTGGAGAAAGAGGTGGTTAGGGACTATTTAGAAAAGCTGGACGTGCACAAGTCTATGGGGCCAGACACGTTGCATCCGAGAGTGCTAAAGGAGTTGGCGGCTGTGATTGCAGAGCCATTGGCCATTATCTTTAAAACTCGTGGCGAACGGGGAAGTCACGGATGACTGGAAAAAGGCTAATGTAGTGCCAATCTTTAAAAAAGGGAAGAAGGAAGATCCTGGGAACTACAGGCCAGTCAGCCTCACCTCAGTCCCTGGAAAAATCATGGAGCAGGTCCTCAAGGAATCAATCTTGAAGCACTTACACAAGAGGAAAGTGATCAGGAACAGTCAGCATGGATTCACCAAGGGCAAATCATGCCTGACTAATCTAATCACCTTCTGTGATGAGATTACTGGTTCTGTGGGTGAAGGGAAAGCAGTGGATGTATTGTTTCTTGACTTTAGCAAAGCTTTTGACACGGTCTCCCACAGTATTCTTGTCAGCAAGTTAAAGAAGTATGGGCTGGATGAATGTACTATAAGGTGGGTTGAAAGTTGGCTAGATTGTCGGGCTCAACGGGTAGTGATCAATGGCTCCATGTCTAGTTGGCAGCCGTTATCAAGTGGAGTGCCCCAAGGGTTGGTCCTGGGGCCGGTTTTGTTCAATATCTTCATAAATGATCTGGAGGATGGTGTGGATTGCACTCTCAGCAAATTTGTGGATGATACTAAACTAGGAGGAGTGGTAGATACACTGGAGGGCAGGGACAGGATACAGAGGGACTTAGACAAATTGGAGGATTGGGCCAAAAGAAATCTGATGAGGTTCAACAAGGATAAGTGCAGGGTCCTGCACTTAGGATGGAAGAACCCAATGCACCGTTACAGACTAGGGCCCGAATGGCTAGGCAGCAGTTCTGTGGAAAAGGACCTAGGGGTGACAGTGGACGAGAAGCTGGATATGAGTCAGCAGTGTGCCCTTGTTGCCAAGAAAGCGAATGGCATTTTGGGTTGTATAAGTAGGGGCATAGCCAGCAGATCGAGGGATGTGATCGTTCCCCTCTATTCGACATTGGTGAGGCCTCATCTGGAGTACTGTGTCCAGTTTTCGCCCCACCCTACAAGAAGGATGTGGATAAATTGGAGAGAGTCCAGCGAAGGGCAACAAAAATGATTAGGGGTCTGGAACACATGACTTATGAGGAGAGGCTGAGGAAACTGGGATTGTTTAGTCTGCAGAAGAGAAGAATGAGGGAGGATTTGATAGCTGCTTTCAACTACCTGAAAGGGGGTTCCAGACAGGATGGTTCTAGACTATTCTCAGTGGTAGAAGAGGACAGAACAAGGAGTAATGGTCTCAAGTTGCAGTGGGGGAGGTTTAGGTTGGATATTAGGAAAAACTTTTTCACTAGAAGGGTGGTGAAACACTGGAATGCATTACCTAGGGAGGCGGTAGAATCTCCTTCCTTAGAAGTTTCTAAGGTCAGGCTTGACAAAGCCCTGGCTGGGATGATTTAATTGGGGACTGGTCCTGCTTTGACCAGGGGGTTGGACTAGATGACCTCCTGAGGTCCCTTCCAACCCTGATATTCTATGATTCTATGATACTTCATGGCAAAATCTTAGCAAGGAAAGTGCAGTAAATGCAAGCTGAAAGCTAGAAAATAAACCCAAGACTGAGTACTAGCATCACATACTAATGTAGCTTTCAAATGCATTAGGTAATTAAGCACCTTATAAAGAGGCATAAAGCCTTTCAATACCTATGATAGAAAATAAATTGCCTAGGTTTTCTTAAGAATAGTAAGAGGTTAAAGTAGTCCACAATGCTTGGATGACAGTCTATATAGTATATTACAACTCCTTAGTGCCCTCCTTGTAATTGAATAGCCTGTTTCAAAAGCACTTTGTTCATCCTTTAACATTTAAAAAAATAAATTCATGAGACTAGTCAATTACAAAGAGACAGGTCCCAATATTCTTTCTTCCTCATATAGAATAGCACATGTACGACACCACAAGCAGAGTCATCTCTGTCAGTCAGATTGTGCTGGAGGAAGGCATAATTCAACATAAATAAGAGCACTGGAATCCGGCCCAAAATTTATTTAAAGTACTTTGAGGTGATATTCCAACCCGGACTCCAACTACCAATTATTTTGTGGTTTTGCACTCCCATTTTCCTTTATTCTTGATTATTTGTTTCTCTCCTGCTGTTGTGTGAAGACTCATCCAAGCATCAAGGGAACCTGGCTGACTAACTAGCCAGGAGAAAAAATGGATCTGTCTCTAAACAAAGGGCTAGCTTCTCAGCTAATGTAAATTAGTGTAGCTCCACTGACATAAATTCTTGCTCTTTAAAGTACAGAAAAAACAAACAAAAACAGGTATAAAAATTAATTGTATGTGCTCCTTGTAATCATAATTGTTAAAACATTTCAGATAGAAGTTTGATTTTTTAAGTTGATTGGGTCCTTTCATTCCTGGTGTCTCACTAAACCTCCCACCCATTCTTTAAATAGTAGTTTTCAAACACATTAGGCAGACATTTAACAACTTCACAATGTGTGACTGTTTAAAGAAGTGAAAAATCCACCCACTCAGTACTGTTATGAAACCAGCCAGATCCT